GGCTCGACCTATTTGTTTTCTGACATGGCGCCGCTTGACTAGGAAAGGTGCAACGCCCCTCGAATATCAGAAGAATCCCACTTCTGAAACCATGTCGTGTTGCGCCCTAGCGAAAGGGCATGCGCGTCCGGGCCGGCCGCAGGAGCTGAGAAAGGGACTGAGCCGCTTCCGATGGGCGCGAGATAACGTCCAACCTTTATTCCATGCAACCAGCATACATATATAGCAGACACTCATGTGACCAAAGACGTCACGTACAAACGACACTTTACAATTGCGGGCGACAGCGCCAGATAACGCGGACACTTGACGCGCCTGGGCGCTATCACCACAAAAACCACGAGACTGGCCACCGTCGGCTTTACCTCAGTGGCATTGCCCACTTGTGGCTTCGGAACCATGAAACCGACGTTCCAACCTGGACAGCATTCAAGACAAAGTTCAGCGAAGTCTTTGGACATCCTGCTGTCCGCAAACTTCGTGCGGAGCAGCCCCTTCAGTCAAGATCTCAACTGCCTGGTGAGAATTTCACCAATTACATAGAGGACGTCATTGACTTGTGTAAACACGTCGATGCGAACATGGCAGAGGCAGACTGAATCAAGCATATCTTTAAGGGCATCGACGAGGACGCATTTCAGATGCCCATTTAAAGAAGCCCGGCTACTGTCGCCCAAGTTGCCGAGCTCTGCCAAAGCTCCGCCGGCAACATCTCGTCACCTGTTGGGCTGTCCCACATCAGGAATCGATGTCTGGCTTAACTTCCTCGCAAGATCTGGTCCTCAAGCAGATCAAAGATTTTGTGCGCGAAAAAGTTGCACGCCAACTCCCGCTCATCTCTGGACTACCGAAGCGCAGTGCGCCGCTCAGCCCTACACTATGCACTATTATACAAGACCAAGTTTCTGAGGTCCTTCCTCCGCAGCTGGTGCCACCAGTCAATGCACCATTTATGTACACCGAAGCAGCAGCACGACCATGACCTCAGACGTTCTGAGCGCCGCCTCCACTGCCTGCTCCTGTTTATGCCGCACAGCCGCCACAACCTCCAGTCCACCGAGTCCCTAATTCATGGCGCACTGCCGACAACCGACCGACCTGCTTTTCGTGTGGTCTACCCGGACACATTGCACGTCTTTGCCGCCACCGCCCACTCCACTCACGTGAAAACCCACATCCATATGATTACGACCACACATTTCCCTACACTCCAGACCCCAAACTGCGCCCTTCTTGACCAAGCCACCGACCAGCTTCTGATCGCCGATCTCCTTCTCCACGTCGTCGCTCGCCCTCCCTGATGTGCTGACGCCCCCCTACAATCGACGCGGAAAATTAAATGATGCAGTTCCTGAGGCGAGACTGTGTCCTCATCGCAAAGCACAAGCCCTCTTCGTTCGCTGCCGAATGTAATTAATGCCGTTCTTGAAGGTGTACCTGTACTTTCCCTTATTGATACTGGTGCCGCCATTTCTGTCATCGCTGAAAAGGTTTGCCGTTCAATTCGAAAAGTGACAACGCCTTACTTGGGTTCGTGTCTTCATACTGCCACTGCATAGCCTGTGCAGCCTGTGGCCGCGTGTACCGCCAGACTTGTAATTCAAGGAGTGCCTCACACAGTGCAGTTCGTAGTGCTCCCGTGCTGTTCTCACGACATCATTTTAGGTTGGGATTTTCTCTCCCATCACCAAGCCGTCATTGATTGTGCCCGTGCCGAAGTCGTCTTTTGTCCCCTTGGTGATGCTCTACCTGCGACGATCACCCTTCCTACGCGGAGTTGGTCATTAGTGACGACACCCAGATCCCTTTGCGCGCTACTGTCTTCGCACCTGTGTCGTGTTTCACCTTCGTTGACGCTACCGCATTCTTCACGCCTTCCGCTTCTTTCGTTTATCGCCACCTAGCACCGCTCCCAACGACTCTCGTTACTCTTCAAGGTGGTGCGACCGACGTGCCTGTGGCGAATCCGTTCCCATTCACGATTACGCTGCTTCGGGGCGAGTGTGTCGGCTCAATAGAATCATTCGAAACCATCGCTACACTTGATGTTCCTGATGGATCATCTGAAGTCAGCGCCTTCTCCTGTAGTTCCGTGAATGGTCCTTCCACTGCCGACATTTTCAATTGTGTCATCGACAAAGGCCTAAACCCACAACAGAGGTGCAAGCTTTTAGCCTCCCTGACAAGTTTCGGCCATATTTTGACAGTCACAGCTCTACTTTAGGTCAAACATCTACTGCATGCCACCAGATCGACACAGGTAATCACCCACCTCTATGGCAGCGACCGTACTGTGTTTCGCCAACTGAACGTCGTGTCATCGATGAACAAGTAGGTGACATGCTAAAGCGTAGCGTGGTTAAACTATCAAGCAGTCCTTGGGCATCGCCGGTTGTTTTAGTTAAAAAGAAGGATGGCACGATACGCTTTTGCATAGATTATCGTCGTCTAAAAAAAAATAACACAAAGGTATGTTTATCCTTTGCCTCGGATCGATGACGCCCTCGACTCTTTACAGGGCACAGAGTTCTTTTCTTCCCCTTATCTACACTCTGGGTATTGGCAAGTGCCCATGAATCCGGATGATAGGTCAAAAACTGCCTTTGTTACACCAGACGGCTTATACGATTTTAACGTGATGCCATTCGGCCTATGCAATGCGCCGGCAACATTTGAGCGCATGATGGACACTATCCTACAAGGCCTCAAATTGAACACGTGTTTGTGCTACTTAGATGATGTGGTGGTATTCTCGCCCGATTTTCCTACGCACCTTCATTGCTTGGAACAGGTTCTACACTGCCTCTCTGCAGCAGGCCTCCAACTAAACTTGAAGAAGTGTCACTTTGAAGCACACAAGCATTCTCGGACATGTCGTGTCGAAGGATGATGTTCTCCCTGACCCCGCTAAGCTACGTGCTGTTCGTGAGTTTCCGATGCCCGCGTCTCTCAAGGAGCTCTGTAGTTTCATTGGGCTTTGCTCATACTTCTGGCGCTTCGTACGGGATTTCGCCTCAATCATGGCACCTCTTACAGACCTACTTCAGGGAGACTGAAATCTATCTGCATGGTCTCCAGCCTGCAACAGTGCCTTTGCGAAGCTCTGTGAACTGCTTACAACACCACCCATACTGGGTCATTTCGATTCAAGCACTCTCACAGAAATCCACAAGGATGCTAGCGGTGTCGGTCTTGGCGCTGTACTCGCGCAACGAAAGCCGGGTTACCAAGAACATGTAGTTGCATACGCGAGCTGCACTCTTATAAGAACAGAAGCAAATTATTCGGTAACTGAGAAATAATGCCTAGCGATCATCTGGGCCATTACAAAATTTCGACCTTATCTGTACGGCCGCCCTTTCGATGTTGTTACCGACCACCACGTGCTCTGCTGGTTATCCTCCCTCAAGGATCCCTTCGGACGCTTGGCACGATGGGCTTTACGGCTCCAAGAGTACGACGTCTGTGTCATTTATCCCTCAGGCTAGAAGCGTGCTGATGCCGATGCTCTTTCGCGTTCGCCTGTTTCTGCTGATATTGCGAGTGTCTCCATCCAAGACAACTTCCTTCCACTATCAGGACCCATCGACATGGCTGCGGAGCAGCGCAAAGATTCGTGGATTGCGTTTCTGATGGATTACCTACATGAAACACTCGCCCGCCCGTCATCTCGAGCGCTACACCGACAAGCCTCCCACTTCGCCATCCGTGATGGAATTCTTTATCGCCGCAGCTACCACCCTGACGGCCGCAAATGGCTACTCATGATACCTAGGCATCTCCGTGCCAGCATATGTGCTGCTTTCCATGCCGATCCGCAGTGTGCACACGCCGGTTTGTTTAAAACCTACGCCAGGCTACGTTTTCGGTTTTATTGACGCGGCATGTACACATTCGTTCAAAAGTACATTCGATCTTGCACAGAGTGCCAACGCCGCAAGCACGATCCTAGCCGTCCTACTGCGCCAATGCAGCCATTGCCGTGCCCACTACCAGTTTTTGCTCAACTCCCTTGTTTGGCTGTGGATGCCTCCCACTGCTGCTTCTGGTACCTCTACAAAGTTCGTGAGCAGGTAGCATGGACCTTATCGCATCATGGAACAAACTTCCGCTGTCAACTACCTCATCGAACCCCTCACGCCCACTGCGGACCTGCGTCACCGAGACCGCGAAATCGTACACGTGGATCGTCTCAAACCATATCACGAACCGCTTGTCCTCACAAACACCTACTTGGCTCCATCTTCAGTGAGGGAGAAATATGTGATGAACAAGTAGTCAGTCATGCAAAGCTCGGCAAACACATCGTCAGCGCTAATCACGAGTCGCTCGACCCAGACAATGTCGCTGCTTTCGTTGGCTAGGCCTGCGCTCCTACCTGGTCTCAAATAACAGTTCTGGCTGTCTCAGTTCTTTATTATACTTGCTTCAAAGTGAGTGCTGCGAATAGTCTGTGAAAGTGAATCTTTCCAGAAAGACTGCTTATGACTCTCTATATTCTTTTCAAGGGTGTAAAAGGCGATAAACTTTTACCTAATCATTTGTGCATTTTACCTGAAAATTAACTACATAGTCTGCAAGCCTGCTTTTCACACTTTTTCTTGTACACAGCATTGAGCAATAACCTAGTGATGACTCTCTGAGTTGTTGAAAATGACATAGAAGTAGCAGGCATCGTATATGTAAATGGCATGCATCGATATGAAGTGGAGGTGTACCTAGCATTTCAGTAAGGCGAAAGCAATGAGGTAAAAGGGCAGTCGTGAGAAACCAAGCTGATGAAATGAAAATAAACCACGACAGAAACATCGTATTTGGAAGCATACACAAACCAGAGCTTCGATTTTGACAAATTAGTGCACACTTCATGCAACGCCACTGTGTGTCCTCTGCTGTAGCTTCGTGCTGCTAAATTATAAACAACGGTTTGTCACTATCACAAACCTCCAGTGGGCTACTGCAGAACTGATTTGCCTATTCCTCATTTGTGTCGCATCTAGGCTGAAGTTGCATGAAGACTGGGCTGCTACTCCTGCTGCCATCGATGCCTGTCTTCACGTGGCCGACTATTATGACATCCAGGTATGTCACCAAAATGTCACCAATGTTTAAGGTGGCTGTTAGTTCCTGAGCTTGGATCAGACAGTGCTCATTGTCATGAACTTGTATGCACTTTCCTTGTACTCTTCTTCGCCATTATTGAGAATATAATTGTTTGTTTAACAACTCTCGGCTCTGACTGTTCTTTGGGCCACAAGCCGGCGTCCCGCTGGCGCGCCAAAAAGGGACCACTTCTAAATTGTCCACGCTTTCGTGGTGCGGTTCGGGGGGCCGATACTTCGGCCCTTGGAATTAGCCCGGCGATCGCCTCCCTAATAAACGGGACATGTGTGACAACGTTGCATCTTTTCTGCTGCAACCTTTTGTTCTGCATCACGGCGCTCCACGTGAACTTTTGAGCGACCGAGGCCACGTCTTTCTCGCGGATGTTATTCAAGAACTTCTTGCTGAATGCCATGTGATTCACTGCTGTACTACCACATATTGCCCACAAACAAACGGCTTGACCGAACATTTCAACCGCATTCTTGGTGACATACTTTCTATGTATGTCGCCTCCGACCACACCAAATTGGGATCTTATCCTTCCCTACGTAACGTACGCTTACAACGCAGCATCTCAAGCGACGACAGGCTTTTCTCCCTTCTTTTTACTCTATGGTCGAGAGCCATCATCTCCAATCGATACCATTTGCCCCTACCAACCCGGCTCATCTGAAGGCACACTAGTTTCCGAAGCCGCTCGGTATGCAAAAGAATGTCGGCAATTAGCTTGCACCCTTACAGCACAAGGGCAACAGAAATTTTGTCACGACGATGGACGGTCCCACTACCACTTTTTGCTCAACTCCCTTGTTTGGCTGTGGATGCCTCCCACTGCTGCTTCTGGTACCTCTACAAAGTTCGTGAGCAGGTAGCATGGACCTTATCACATCATAGAACAAACTTCCGCTGTCAACTACTTCATCGAACCCCTCACACCCACTGCGGACCTGCGTCGCCGAGGCCGCGAAATCGTACACGTGGATTGTCTCAAACCATATCACGAACCACTTGTCCTCACGAACACCTACTTGGCTCCGTCTTCAGTGAGGGAGAAGTATGTGATGAACAAGTAGTCAGTCATGCAAAGCTCGGCAAACACATTGTCAGCGCTAATCACGAGTCGCTCGACCCGGACAATGTCGCTGCTTTCGCTGGCTAGGCCTACGCTCCTACCTGGTCTCAAATAACAGTTCTGGCTGTCTCAGTTCTTTATTATACTTGCTTCAAAGTGAGTGCTGCGAATGGTCTGTGAAAGTGGATCTTTCCAGAAAGACTGCTTATGACTCTCTATATTCTTGTCAAGGGTGTAAATGGCGATAAACTTTCACCTAATCATTTGTGCATTTTACCTGAAAATTAACTACATAGTCTGCAGGCTTGCTTTTCACACTTTTTCTTGTACACAGCATTGAGCAATAACTTAGTGATGACTCTCTGAGTTGTTGAAAATGACATAGAAGTAGCAGGCATCGTATATGTAAATGGCATGCATCGATATGAGGTGGAGGTGTACCTAGAATTTCAGTAAGGCGAAAGCCATGAGGTAAAAGGGCAGTCGTGAGAAACCAAGCTGATGAAATGAAAATAAACCACGACAGAAACATCGTATTTGGAAGCATACACAAACCAAAGCTTCGATTTTGACAAATTAGTGCACACTTCATGCAACGCCACTGTGTGTCCTCTGCTGTAGCTTCGTGCTGCTAAATTATAAACAATGGTTTGTCACTATCACAAACCTCCAGTGGGGTACTGCAGAACTGATTTGCCTATTCCTCATTTGTGTCGCATCTAGGCTGAAGTTGCATGAAGACTGGGCTGCTACTCCTGCTGCCATCGACGCCTGTCTTCACGTGGCCGACTATTATGACATCCAGGTATGTCACCAAAATGCAGCAGAGCACATTATCTTGACCGATCAGAAGAAAATATGGTCTCTTGTGTTCTGGCAAAAAAGTGAAGATTTTCTACGTACTGTGCTCTCTTGTGTAACACTGAGATACAGCAGAATTATACCACATCAGTATGTCATGTGAGTGACGTTTAGTGTTCCTTGGACTAAGCAGCAAGGAATAGAGTGCATTCAAGTAGCTCACAGTTTAGGCGATATTGCCTAAAGACCCATGTTTATGTCATTAAATTTTGTTTTTAATATGTGCCATCTCTTGCTTCAGTGAATTGCACAGCTCTTAGCAGCAGTCAACACTGGCTAGTTGCACATTTTTTCGGCTGGCTTATCCAGTGAGCATGTCAAGTTATGTGAACCGACGGGGCCCTTAACACGGGGTTCCAACCTATGAGGAAGACTCCTCGCCCTGTTATGAACAAACTTTTCTCGTTCTGTCTCTCTCTTGCTCATTTTTCAACGCTGTATGTGATCAGTGTAGACATGATTCTCCTACCATGTTTTATTGCAAAAGTGCCTCAGATGAATTAATTAGTTAGTTTTGGGCAAGTAATGCAGAAATGGAGCCAAATCATAAAATGATAAAAAGATGACAGTGCATGGTACTGTTGCATATTTTTGTCATGTGTTCATCTGCGAAACAAGGCAAAGAAAATTACTGTTGTACAGTACAAAGTACAACTACCGCACTAAGCTGCTGTAAAATGTGTGCATTGGTTTTAAAAGTTTATATAAAGCAAACAAACATCATTATGCCAAATCATTCTTGGAGCGATGCACTCCAAAAACTGTTACATTATTTGCTGAATTCGAATACAAAATTAACCGTAGGAAGCAGAAAATTTATTCAGAAGGATTTTAGAATGACCCTGCAGGTCATACAGCATTGCTTCTTGTGTCCGTGTTTGCACACCCTGTTTTTTTAGAATGAATTGTGCCTCAGCTGTTTCCTTAGGACGATTATATATTAACACTTTGACGCACTTCGCAAGTACCGTTACGTTTAGTGAGAGTTGCAATGCGTGTTAAAGGCAGCTTCATATTGTCTAGTCATTTAATAGTGGAGCTGTTTAAGGTGGCTGTTAGTTCCTGAGCTTGGATCAGACAGTGCTCATTGTCATGAACTTGTATGCACTTTCCTTGTGCTGTTCTTCATCATAATTTTTCTATTCTTCCGCTTTGCTCCCTGAACACGTGCACTGATTTCTTTGGCCCGGGATGCCATAACTCTGATGAGTGAGGGAACGAGTACAGAGATAAAAAGAAGAGATAAAAATTCAGAAAGAGAAAAATTCAGTGGGAAATTAGCTATGGATTGCAGGCTGCATCCTCATTCCTGACTCCATGCAGCAGTGTCTGAGTTGGAAGCACTTCATCAGGATAATTTTATCTGGAGAAAACAACAAAACATGAACAACCGTAGTTACCAATCCAGGCTAAAACTGTGCTAAAACACTGTGAACAGGGCGTTTTCTAGTTCGTGTTTCCAGTAAGTGCACAATGCTGCTAGAGAACGGCAAGCACTGGTAAAACCGCCTGTGGTATGGTATAGTAAGAGGTTGGGATAGGGAAGTGAGGGTGAGAGGAACAAATGTTAAGAGAAAAAGGGAAAAGAGAAGGAGAGGTAAAGCATAGCATAGAATTAGAAAGAGAAAAGTAGAGATAATGAAAGAGGGAGAGAGACAGAGAAAAGAGAAGGAACTATAAAGAGGTATAGAAAGAGATTAAAAGAAAGAGGATGCGAGAAATAGAGAGATCAAAAGGGAGTGAGAGGATGAAAAAGAGACAAAAAAAAAACAAGAAAGTGAATTAGAGAGAGAAAAACTAGAAATAAAAAACTAACAAAAACAGAAAAAAAAGATTAAGGTATGGAGAAAGCAAGAAAGAAAAAGTTTACACAATTTGGGAAAACAGCAACAGCCAGGACTACATATAGGTGCTCACCAGCTCCGCTGTCTGCTTGGCATTGTGCTTTTAGTCTATGCTATAACAATATTTTAAATGGAAACATTAAAACACTGTCAGCTTGTTCATTTATAGTGTTGCACAGATTCATGCCATGATGTGCTCTTGTCATAAGGCTTATCCAACACTGTTTTCTTGTTAAAGGGTGCCATGGCTTGGGAGCTACCATATTATGTGTCAGTTGACATACAGTTCTTGTCAACCGCCCCGCAATTGCATTGACTTTTATGATACTTTTCGGGCTTGTTGGACAAAAGTAGTTTACTAGAGTCGCAGTATGTTTTTGTTTCTTTTCACTGCAAAGTTGTGTTCTTGTAAAGCTTTTGCAGCAATGTTTTTAAACATAAAAAGCTTTTGGTAATTTTTGTATGTTGTTCAAGGTCTTAAATCAGGACTATGTATAGTCACTAGTATTTGAATTTCCCTCTCACACCCAGCACTATGAAAATTTATGTTGCATGTATTGTCAATACTGTAAAGAAACTTTAAACTTCACACATGCAAGATGTATCATTGAAGTCGTACCAGTGCTTGTCTCACTGAAGATATTTCCTTGCTTTATACAGTAGGCTCTCAGTAAATAAAGGTATCTTAAATGGAATTGTTGCTTAAAAAAAATACTGGCTCTAATATGACTGGTTTTGTACCTGAATACTAAAACCCTGTACATCTCTCAGCAAAAAGAAATCATGTTAAGCGGGACATATGTTCCTGGTTTCTACGGTTTTCGTGTAGTGAAAGTTCACTTTACACATATCTAAATAGGAAAATCATAACATTCCTTTAAGCTTTGCATTTATGGCTCTGATTGTTCATGGAACACAGTCTTTACTGTGCCCTTGCATTGTGGCAGGCCATGATTCACACAGATACGCTGAACGAGTCGGGTTGCCTGGAGCAGACCGTAGAGGCATTTGATGGAAGAACAATCCATGCGTACCATGCAGAGGGCGCCGGAGGTGGCCACGCACCGGACATCATTAGCATCTGCGGGGAGATCAACGTCCTTCCCTCGTCAACGAACCCAACCAGACCGTACACAAAGAACACCGTTGAAGAGGCGCTCGACATGCTCATCATCTGCCACCACTTAGACAGGTGTGTTGTTCTTCTGTATTCAGAAATGTTCTTCTTATTATCCTAAGTAAAAATTCATCGCCTGCAAGAGATCCAGGCCACGTCCCTATGTTGGTGCAGAATTTGGTGACAAGTAACATATCTTGCGGGCATCGGTTTGGAAACATAAACATGGATGTCCCTAACACTCTAGTTGTCCTCTCCAAATAGTTTTTGTCTCTAACTTTCTTAGTAGTACAGTAGACTCCTATTAAACGACTCTCTCTTAAATGAAATTGCTGCTTAAGTAGAACAACTGCCTCTAATATGATTTGTTTTGTACTTGAATATTGTACCCCTGTTTGTCTCTCAGTAAACGAAACTCCTCTTAAATGAACCACATTTTCCTGGTCTCTTCACGTTTCGTATAAGAGCAGTCTACTGTATAGTTGTGTTTTCTTGCCCCGCCACGGTGGTCTAGTGGCTAAGGTACTCGGCTGCTGACACGCAGGTCGCGGGATCAAATCCCGGCTGCGGCGGCTGCATTTCCAATGGAGGCGAAAATGTTGTAGGCCCGTGTGCTAAGATTTAGGTGCACGTCAAAGAACCCCAGGGGGTCAAAATTTCCGGAGCCCTCCCCTACGGCGTCGCTCATAATCATATGGTGGTTTTGGCACGTTAAGCCCCACATATCATCATCATCATCATCGTCATCATCATCATCGTCATCGTCATCATCGTCATCATCATCATCATCATCACTTATGTTTTCTTAAAGGTTTGTGGAAACACACAGACAGACGTCGGTACTGTTAGAGCATGAACTATATATTTCATCTGAAGCCCCTTAGTCACATGCGAGCAATCACAGGTGTGACCATCTCGTGTGTGTTGCAATGTCCTCATTGTCTTCTCCAGGTCAAATTCTTGTAGCCCGTACTTATGTGCTACAGGTTCCATTTATAATGCAAAACCGTTATGCCTGTAGCATGTGCGTGTGCATGTGTGTGTGTGTGTGTGCACGTACACATGCATTGTGTCTTTTTTTGTGTAAGTACTATGCCTATTACTTTTGTTACATAGAATGAGTTGTTATTCAGAATGTGCTGTAAACATCAGATTCATCATAACAAACTGCTAGAGTAGTGGGAAAGGCCCCAACGCATCCACAATATGTGCACCACGTGTCTCCATAATGTCCCTCATGGACATGCAAAGAATGTTTGGCCAATTCATCTTGCGTAAGATGTCTGTAGGCTATGTTCATCACATCCTACGATATCCATTTCCTGGCTTTGGATGTCTTGTGTTAAATGCACTGCAAGTCATTGCAGTCAGTGGGCCCTCTTAACCTCAGGAATAGGGCTGGTAGTGCATCCTTTAGCTGAAGTAGCCACTGTATTTCAATAACGCTTCGTGTTATTTTGTGGTATGGCAGATCAGGGTGCGACACAGTGCAGCTGAGCTCAAAGGTTGTACTTTGATTCCCGATCAGTGTGGCCAATAGGAGCGAAAGGTTATGTTGCCTAAATATACCTGTAACTGCATGTTAAAAAATCACGTAGGGTCCAAACTGACTTGGCGTTTCCTTTGACAGCCTTGCTTACCATCGGCATGTTGCTTGTGGAATATGAAACCTAAGTACACAAAATTGATCAATAGAATGACATTCCACACCAATTGTTGTGCAAAAATATCAGAGTATGTGAAACACGCCAGAGTTTAGATGTGTTTTTCAAGCAGTGTCTTAGGTTGGAAATTACTGAAGGCCTTATTGTGCAATGAAGTTTTACTGTACATAAACTAAGTGTCAATCTAAAAAGAGGTAAGCTAAGGACATACTTTCAAAAAGAGCACACACTGAAAAAATACGGCAAAAATTTAAGCAAAGAATATATAGATATTGTCATGGTGTAATGACATTGACGAGGGCAGCAGTCAGCGTATCAAAGATAACACTCTTTATTTGACCGAACTTGTTGCCAGGAAACAAACTCAAACTACAGCAAGCAATGGACACTGTACGCTGATAATCACGAACAGAGCGTCTACCATCTATAATCTGATCATTGTTAAAACGTGCTATATTTTATACATTACGCATAAAACTTTCCAGCCTTATCACTGGTGGTCGTGCAAGTTCTGGAGTGAGCTTGTCTGCGTCCTGCACACAATCTTTACAAAATGATCTACTACAGTCGCAAAGCTTCTCGAACTCTGACGTGGTCTGCACCGAGCATTGCTGACAGTCTTTATGAGTGTAAACTGGATATGGCGAAATCGAAACAAGAAATGCATGTTGCAATGCCTCCATCTAAAAAAGCATTGCCCCGATGCTTAAAACAGAACATGAAAAAAGAAAAAAAGCATGCAATAATAAATAACAACGAGTAACAGCCTGAGTCAGCGAGTTTCTTAATACGCGTAGAACAGTTTAAGGTGCACCACATGCACGACCTCAGGACCTGCCCTCTGTCACTGAGACTTCATGATGCTGTCGAGGAAAACCTCGTGGTTTAGTGCGCAGAGACGTCGAAATACTCTCTGAGGTCTAAAGTATTGTCGCAAGAGTTCTTTACTGATTCCATGTTGTCATATCAGTGTCCAGGCTCAGACACGGTCACTAAGCTGGTATTCTACAAGGCATCGTCAAAGATCATAGCGATAGCTTTCGGTTTTTTGTTGGCAATGGATGCGCAGACTGGCCAGTTGTCGGGCTTCTTTGGTGTGCTGGAGGTACACGGTGTTAATGTTTTTCTTATTGGGGACGCTGGGCAACATGGCATCAAGCGTCGTTGTCGGGCTAGCTTTTTCCCTAGACAAACTTGTATAGTGTCATCTGTGTTGTTCCTTGCACGACCATGTTGTATGCAAAGGTCACATACATAAGGATAGCATCTCACCTGAGGCTACGATGGAGGCAGAAATTTTCGCAGCTCCTCCTGCACGATTACTCTGATTATCTCACGCAGGTTGGCAGATTTCATTGAATTGTGACGTCAAATGCTGGATTTATTGCTAGTTCTGTACATCTACGTCCAATGTATTCTCAATAGTCATCGCTTCAGAAAGGAAATCTTCGACACTGGTCGGTAATTTCTGCATCAGCCCCGCACGAAGGCCCTGCTTGACTCCTTGCATGAGGAGGCAAACTTCATTCTTTTTGGCCATTTTGGGGTCTGCGTGGCGAAACAGTCTTGTCATCTCTTCTGTCAAGAGGGTTGTGATGTTATTGGGGCAGGACCGCTCCAGAAAGAATCAGACAGCACGCCAGTGCACAAACACACGTCCAACTTCTATTGTACCCTTCACCCATGGACAACCCACACGTTACGAAGTTCCTAACACAAAAAACACGCGGCTAAACTAAATGAATAAGTAGAACGTTCGGCCTACAGTTCAGGTCGTCGGGGTAGTAGCCTGGGCCGTCGTTGATGCCCCGTCGGCAACATTCAGTGGCGAAGTCGACGTTGGGCGGCGTCGTCACCTGCAGTGACGAAGTCGGGAGACGCAGGGTCGCCGCGTCGAACTCCAGTGGCTCAGCGCCACTGTCGACGAACTGGAGCCGACGACCCACGTGTTCCGGCGGCAGGGAGTTGTGCCCTTGAGCACCTGTAGTCCGCCTCGGAAACCCACGCCAGCCCTCCTGGAACAGCGGCGCAAGGGCAGGTTCAGGCACCCGGCGCCAGCTCTCCACGACCAGCGAGACAAGGACAGGTTCAGGAACCTGGCGCCAGCTCTCCTAGACCGGTCGTCTAGCGGAGGCTGAGCTGTTCACTCGGCTGGTACGAGTGTCGCGACGTGGCCTGGGTCGTACCTATGGGCCAGACGCCCAACGAGGTAGTCCTGCCTCGAACGACGTACCTCGCGCACTGCCGAAGGCACGGGTCACGCACCCTCGAGGCCGCGCCTCACGAGCTGTCGTCTTCCTCGTAGGCACCGCACGGCACATACACGCACACATCACATCCTCTTCGCCACCGCACGGCACACTATTGTCGTTTTTTTTTTTTTTAGTTTCTGTTTCGCGTCCGCGCAGCACATATTATGACATCACCCCCTTTTCCGAGAAAGTTGTTTGCAACTATTCTACTACAAGGGCGCGGGGCGAACGAATGGTCACTGCACTGCACGGTCACTGCACGGTCCCTGCACTGCACTGCATTGTCTTAGGGGTCGCATGTACATAGTAGCAGAATGTTCACAGAAGGCTGCTTACAGTTCGGTTGGAAAACTACCGTACAAGTAGGGTTGCTATGTCGCAACTAGGAGGCAACTATTCACGACTGAGGGCTAGTAGTATTAAGAACCACGTTGCTACCTAAACGGCAGTTATGCGCGACTCAAGTAGTCGGCTCCAACATTGTCACAACCTTTGATGTAATGAACTGTGAATGAGTACTCCTGCATAAGGAGACTCCACCTCAACACTCTGTTGTTCACGTGTTTGGCGGAATTTAAATACTGTAATGGTTGGTGGTCTGACTGAATGACAAAAGGTTTGCCATAGAGGTAAATATGAAATTTTTGCACTGCCCAAACAAGTGCAAGGCATTCCCGTTCTATTGTTGAATAGTGGGTTTCTCGGGGCAATAAATTACGACTTGCGTAAGCAACTGGATGCAGCACCTGGCCCTTTCCCATCTGGAGCAATACTGCGCCCAGGCTTGTATTGGAGGCATCCGTACGAAGAACGAACTCCTTCGAGAGGTCGGGAGCAAGGAGGATGGGAGCATCGCCGAGCTTCTTCTTGAGGGCCGTAAACGCTTCCTCTTGATGTGCGCCCCATGAAACAGTGTGGCTTTGTCCCTTTCTTGTAAGGTCCGTCAGCGGCTTGGTCAGTTCGGCGTAGTTAGGTATAAACTTCCTGTAATAGCCGGTCAAGCCAAGAAACGACTGCACTGCTTTCTTGGTTGTAGGTCGTTTTGCGGCAAGAATCTTGTCTAGCGTTTTGAGAAGCGGTTCAACTGTAGTCTCCCCGATTCGGTGTCCCAAGAAGGATATGCTTCGCTCTCCTATCTCACATTTACTTGGTTTTATGG